CTTAGGCAGTATCATTAGAAGACATAGCATACATTTTCACTGCTATGCAGATGACACCCAGCTCTATCTGTCCATGAAGCCAGATACACACACCAATGAGTTAAACTGCAGGAATGTCTTAAAGACATAAAGACCTGGATGGCCGCTAACTTTCTGCTTCTTAATTCAGATCAAACTGAGGTTATTGTACTCGGCCCTGAAAAGCTTAGAAATATGGTATCTAACAGATTCTTACTCTGGATGGCATTACCTTGGCCTCCAGTAACAGCTGTGAGGAACCTTGGAGTCATTTTTGACCAGGACATGTCCTTCAAGCACATATTAAACAAATATGTAAGACTGCTTTCTTCCATTTGTGCAACATCTCTAAATTAGAAATATCCTGTCTCAGAGTGACGCTGAAAAACTAGTTCATGCATTTATTACTTCCAGGCTGGACTACTGTAATTCATTATTATCAGGAGTCCTAAAAACTCCCTGAAAAGCCTTCAGCTGATCCAAAATGCTGCAGCAAGAGTCCTGACAGGGACTAGAAAGAGAGAGCAGATTTCTCCTGTTTTGGCTTCCTGTTAAATCCAGAATTCAAAATCCTGCTCCTCACATACAAGGTCTTAAATAATCAGGCCCCATCTTATCTTAATGACCTTGTAGTACCATATCACCCTATTATCTGTAAGTTAAGCTTTAATGCTTGTGAAAATTTGATTAAAAACTCAAAATTCATGTCCTCCTTTTTTGCATTTTCCAATGTCATCCAATGTGCCCAATTTGGGTATTTGCTCAGGCCAATTCTGTGCCCCGGTCTCTCGGGGGGGGGCGGTGAGCATGCGCATAATGAGAACCAACATAAGCCCAGAGGCCCCAAGTGGCTGCAACCAACAGCAAAGACCAAGCTGCAGTGGACAGCAGCATGCTGAGCAACAAAGCACATTGGACGTTCTCCACCAGCGCCCAAGGCCCCCCAGCAAGATCCTGTCAGTGATTCTAAGTCCCTTTATTTGGCCCCCAAACCTGACCTGCATGTAGGAAAAAGAACTTTGGAAATCTGTCCACCAGTATCAGGAAATCTGGGCCTGAACTCTGAGATAGTCTGAAATGTACAAATGACCAAATTCAAACCAAGTGGAAACATGAGAGAGAACAGTTAGTCTGTGAACACACTGTGCTCTGTGTATGTTTGACATCTAAAATCAGCAGGTTTTCCTCCTGTCTCTGTCCCTCAGGGTTACATCAAACAGTGCCGCAAAAGGACAGACATGTTCACTGAAGAGCAGCTTCGTACCATCTTTGGGAATATCGAAGAGATCTACCGATTCCAAAGGAAGTTCCTCAAAGGTCTCGAGCAGAAGTTCAACAAGGAGCAGCCACATCTGAGTGAGATTGGTTGCTGCTTCCTTGAACATGTAAGCTGAATCAAAAAACAACAAAAAAATCTTCAACTGGTTTTCTTAAACCCTTTAGAAAACCAGTTAACCCACACACACACTTCTGCTTTCAGTCCTTCTGAGTTGTCCATTTCATAGTGCTTATATTACACCTACATTTTTTTGCCTGATTAATTGAAAATGCTTTATGATGTTTCATGACAGGTCTGAGAGGTGTTTTCAGTCACATATTAAACACTCTTCCCACACCATTCTCTCACCTCTAGCCCGACTTGTTGTTGTCTGTGTTCAGCAAACAGATTTCCAGATCTATTCAGAGTATTGCAACAACCACCCCAATGCCTGCATCCAACTCTCCAAGTTGATGAAGGTCAACAAGTATGTATTCTTCTTTGAGGCTTGCCGACTGCTTCAGAAGATGATTGACATATCTTTGGATGGTTTTTTGCTGACTCCAGTTCAGAAGATCTGCAAGTACCCGCTTCAGCTGGCAGAACTGCTCAAATATACCAACCCTCAGCACAGGTGACTGTAAGCTCTTTGACAAACTGTCAGAATTTAAGTGCTCCCGAGCTAGCGAGGGTCCAGTTGGCTCCTCTCTATGACATACATTTCATCAGTAGACAAATCCAAAAATCCATGCAGACAGTCACATGCTTTTCTGTGTCAGGCCACCAACAAAGCTTTTCTCCAAATGAAAGCGCTAAAATAGCTTAATGATGACTTTTTCTCGATTTCAACAGTTGCCCGTGTGCACATGTGAGTATAACAGAATAACAGAATCACAAGTGGGAGATATTTCAGAATTTAAGATTTCCTAAAGACTTAACCAGGGCATCACGTGGTCAGATGCAGTTATCTGAAGTTTTAAGTTTACACACCCTTTGGGTTTCATCTTCATTCTTAAGAGTGATGCAGCATTAAATCTTAGTGGGATATTCAGACATACACAGATTGAGGGAAAAAAAGAGCCTCTGCCTTAAACTGAATTTCAAACAATGATTGCCTACAGCGAGAAGGAAGAACTCCCTTTTAACAGGAAGACCTCTTAAATATTCAGACGTGTGGCTGAACCAGGCTCAGGGAGGAACATATAGAGACAAGGGGTCACGGAAACTTCCATAAAAGGAAAACAAGAATAATATATTAGTATGAGATGGATTCTGTGCGGAGAATTGCATGTCTACCTGCAGGTGTTCCAGTTTCTTTCTAGTCCAATTTCATGCATGTTAGGTTAATGGTCATTCTAAATTGTCCATAGACAAGGCAGATACACAAAAGTGCCCTATAAACAGAATACAACATGTTTTGTAAGCCTAAAAAAATGTCCATAAAACATAACACAAATCTAATGAGGAAAATGTGAAAGTTAAACAAGTAAGCTAGCAACTACAGCACAGGAAACTGAGAAGAAGCATTCAGGAACAAGCTAGGGTGAGAGGAACTGAGGCACTGACAAAGAATAAGGGGAATACAGGAATGAGAAATACACAGTAGGGTGATGGGCAGTGAGGAAACACCTGGGAAACACAGCTCAACTAAATCAGAATAATCACAAATCATGGGGGAAGGAAAATTAAACACCAAACAGAAGAGATGACTAACAAAGTAAAACACAAAGTACGAACAACAGACGTCTAACAAACAAACTTGACAACAGGATACAAGGAAAGCAGGAATGGTCACTAAACCAAAACTAAAGAACTTAACTATAACACAAGGAGAATCTAAAACTAAGAATAAGAGCTACAAAGAAAAAAATGCTGTGACAAGGACCACAACACTGACCGTGTTTATTTTCTCTTTATTTACGTGGCACACTACTGACAGTTTCTTGTCGTTCGGTTCAGCACCCACGCGTGCAGCTTTGAGCTGCGCTATGACACTCCTCCCCACTCTCAGCTCCGGCTTCACTATATCACGAAGGAAGAGAGAGAGCTCATTAACTAAACTCCACGCACCTGTCCCACCAGCCTCCCCGGCACTGCCCCTTGAGCTCACTGCACCACCCCTGCCCTGCAGCTGAGCCAGGGACCACACCTCCGCCAGAAATACAAAAGGCATACATATAAGTAGAATCTCAAATACAGAACATCAAACTCGGGCCAACACCCCAGAGTCCATGACAGTGAATCTTCAAGATGGACTTGTCAGGCAGGAGGAAGAAAGATTGATGTAGTGAAGGAAGACATGCAGAGGATTAGTGTGACAGATGAGGATGTATGAACTGAGATGGAGGTGAACAAACTACTGAGAGGTGGGCAACTCCAGGCCTCGAGGGCCGGTGTCCTGCAGGTTTTAGACGTGTCCTTGATCCAACACAGCTGATTGAAATGGCTAAATCCTCAACATGTTTTGAAGTTCTCCAGAGGCCTGGTGATGAACTCATCATGTGATTCAGGTGTGTTGACCCAGGGTGAGATCTAAAACCTGCAGGACACCGGCCCTCGGGGCCTGGAGTTGCCCACCACTGCCCTAGAGGGAGGAGTGCCCAAAAGAAAGTCTAAAGCACTGCAGCATCAGTATGACTAGAAGAGCACAATATAAATGCAAATGCATCACCTTAAATGTCCCAAAAATGTGCAAATACATTATTTCATTATAGCTGGTCACTGTATTTTATCAGCATTTATCTAAATCGATTCATTGATTTTTGCCTTTACTGTTCATTCTTTGCACAGTGCAATGAGTGACGAGTAAAGCAAGGGAAGAAAGAGTGTGTAGGAATGGCATGCAGGTAATGGGCTGCAGCAGAACCAATCCAAGGCTCTGCAGTTTAGCGCCAGGCTGTTCTGATGACCTATAGCAACACCCTCCAGTAAACCCCCAAAACTCCATCCCCGTAGAGACTGTGTCTGCTCCCATACAAGCAAAATCCAAACCAAAATCGGCAAACAACCATCCATCCATCCGTCCGTCTGTCCGTCCATCCATCTGTCCATCCATCCGTCCATCCATCCATCCATCCATCCATCCATCCATCCATCCATCCATCCATCCATCATCCATCTGTCCATCCATCTGTCTCGTCTCATCCATCTGTCCATCCGTCCGTCCATCCATCCATCTGTCCATCCATCCATCCGTCCATCCGTCCATCCATCCATCCATCCGTCCATCCATCCATCACTGTTAAAGATGAATTAAAACTCTATTTATCCTTGTCCACTCTAACTGGACAAGTCAAAAAAGTTTTAGTTGTTATCCATCTTCAGTGTGTTTATCTGATGTCTCTGACTTTTTTGTCAGGTTCAGTGCCCAGTCAAATAATTGTTGTAAGTCCATCCATTTATATGTTGAAATGACACTGCATTTAACTTAACTTAAACACATAACTCATAGGCTGGAGAGGATATTGTGCCTTTGGAAGACCTTAATTTGACCTGGAATATCTGTCTTTTGCTTTACATAGCAATACTATAGTTTAGGATCCCTGGGTCTGTTTCATCATATGTTTTGTTTGTTAGACTTTTGAATCAACATTGTATTGTGTTTTGAGAAAAGTATTCTGGATTTATCTGGATTTGTTCGTGCCTTTGATGTTCCCCCCGTGCTTCCTGGGTTATTGTCTATATTTCTAGTTCTTAGTTCTCGTTCATTCTCAGTTCCCTTCTGTGTCGAGGTTGTCTTAGTCTCTCCGTGTCCCTCACTCTCTCTGTGTTGTTTTTCCTGTTTTATTTTGTCAGCCCCTTGTCTCGTGCATGTTATGTTCAGTTTTGCTTCCCCTATCTCGTCTGTTTGCTTCAGCTGTGTTCCCATGTGTCTCCACTTCCCCTGACCACCCTCCTGAGTTTATCTGGTGTCAGGTCCCCCTTTGTCCCTTATCAGAGTGTCCTGTTATGTTCTGGTTTCTGTCGTTCCAAGTTTAGTTTTTCAATAGTTCCCATTTACACTTGGACTTTTGCCTTTGTTTTGTACCTGTTCCATCGGTTCAATAAAGGGCTCGCTTCTGTTAAAACCTCCGCCTGCCTCTGTGTGCTCATCACACACAATCCAACACTCTGAAGGAAAAGTCTTCTGTAGAGCTGGGACATCTTACTATTTGTCAATGATAGGTTTCTTTTTAACACTTTTTCCAGGCTGACAAAGAGTCAGAGCTCTGCTGAATGGAGTCTTCCTTTAGACTTTAATAGTAAAGACTAGTAATGATTATTATTTTTCTAACAATTAGAGTAAATTTCACACCCTTCCCAAGGATGTACCAGTAAATACAACAGCTTTAATAGCTGCTTATATTGACTTTCTCTAACATGTAAACATGTCTCTTAGAACTCATTCCTACAAGACTGCTCTAAGTCTGATCATTAAGTGATAGCCCAACTTTAAATATGATTAATTTACTTCTAAACTGAGATATTTTTTTTTAATTTGGCCGCAGGAATCTTAAAAACATTTTGTCTAACCAGATACTGGACTTACCTTGGCCTCTAGCAGCCCTTTGAGGAACCTGTGTCATTTTTTAATCAGGCCATGTCCTTGACTGTACACATAACTACTTTTATGTATTTGTGCAATATCACTAGAACATTCTGTCTCAGAATGCTGAAAAGTCAGTTCATGCATTTATTGCTTCTAGTGTTAACTACTGAAAATCCAGTATTATCTCCCTGAAAAGCCTTCAGCTGATACAGAAGGCTGGAGGGACTAAGAAGATAAACCATATTTCTCCCACATTCTCCCCATGGGCTCTCTGTAAATCCCCCAATTTAACAACCTTCTCCTTACATACAAAATGTTGAATAATCATCTTATCTTAAAGACCTCATAATACCATACTATCATAATTCAGAGTTGGGGGGAATGGGATATCAGTAGCTCACAGTCTGGGTTTAGGAGACAGACACTATTTGTACTTTTAGATTAGGCCTAAAACTTTCCTTTTTATAAAGCGTATAGGTAGGGCTGGATCACGTGACACTGAATCATCCCTTCGATATGCTGAAATAGGTTTAGGCTAATGGGGGGTTCCCATGATTCACTGACCATTTCTTCTTCATTCACTCTCTGTGGCTTTATACACAGCGGATTCATTCATGAAAGATTCAGTCAATCATTAGTAACTATGACTCTGTGTCTCTCTGCTCACTTCTCTAACCCCTCACTCCCAAGCTGGTCACGGCAGATGGCTGGCCCTCCCCTCAGCCTGGTTCCACCTGAGATTTTTCCCATTCAAAGGGAGTTTCTCCTTCCCACTGTTGAAAAATGCTTGCTCATGGGGGCTCATTTGATTGTTGGGATTTTCTTTCTAACATTGTAGGGTCTTTATCGCCCTACAGTATAAAAGGCCTTGAGGTGACTTTTGTTGTGAATTGGCACTTTATAAATTAAATTCAATTGAACGGAAATAAAATGGTGCATTTGTTAAAGATATTTTGTGAAGTGAGGCACAGAAGGTTAACAGTTACTTCACTCTAAGGTGACCTCTGATAAATTAGTTGGTTTTTCTGTCTGAAAAGACTAACAGACACGGCATTTTAGTTTGTGCAGTTTGGGTTTTTTTTCTACAGAAAGCCCCATTTTCTGACAGGTTGTCCGAAACCACACTATACTGTAACTGTAACACGACGCCCTGTTCAACAACTCAGTGATTGCTTTAATGGTTGTTTAATAATGGAGTTCTGCGGCATGGCGGATGCATCAGTTGTGCTTCACAGAAAATATAAGGAGTGTGTTATGGAATCACCACAAATACTTACTTTATAATCCAAATGCATGTCACTCTCTAAACTTTAGGGACTACAAAGATGTGGAGGCAGCTTTGAATGCCATGAAGAATGTTGCCAGGCTTATAAATGAGAGAAAACGGCGCCTTGAGAACATCGACAAGATCGCTCAGTGGCAGAGCTCCATTGAGGATTTTGAGGTTTGTAATGAAGCATCTTTTTTCTAACATTTCTCCAACACTTACTATTAACTGCAGCATGTCTGAGAAGCACCTAATAGCTGCATGTGTGCTTTAAACCTTACAGGGTGAAGATGTCCTCAGCAGAAGCTCTGAGCTCATCTTTTCGGGAGAGCTGACCAAGCTATCCCTGCCTCAGGCGAAGAGTCAGCAGAGAATGTTTTTCCTTTTTGACCATCAGATGGTGTACTGTAAAAAGGTGCCCTTTTTTTCTACTATGGATGTCATTTTGTGAGGTACTGATAAAAGCATGTGGCAAGAATCACCCTAAGTGCCAGGAGAAAGGGGCATCAGTGTAAATGTACAAAAGAAAAGGTTATCCATGGTTGTGTATCAGGTGTTATTTATATAGCGCCAAAACACAACAACAGTTCCCTCAAGGTGTCTGTGTAAGGTAATACTAATGTGTCAAGCTAATAGGCTTAATTTGTATTCTAAATACAAATACATTCCTATAATTTTCCAATAATAATTCACTTTATTCCACAAGAAGAAGACAGTTTGGTCAGTGGAAGAAGAAAAATGGTGGTATTTATGTACTGAGATGGATCATTAACTGAATTGTCAAGGTTTGTTTGGTGCAGGACTCCAAAACTCCAAAACTAGTGAAAAGTGAAAAAATTTATTTAAAGGGGCATATATACATATGCATAGTGAATAATGGGAAGAGGGCTCCAGTTCCTTGTTCAGCCTGTCTGTCTGACCATTGGTTTGGGGGTGATAACCTGATGAGAGACTGACCTGGGCACATATGGTGAAGCAGAATTCCTTCCATACCTTTGACGTGAACTGAGGCCCACGGTTGGAGACGACATCTGAAGGGATTGCATGCAGGTGGAACAAGTGATCCATCAGCAGCTGGTCCATCTTGAGTGCTGTGGGGAGCTGCAAAATGTGCTGCTTTGGAAAAGCAATCAATAATAGACAGAATTACCATGTTTCCTGGTGAAGGTGGAAGGCCTGTCAAAACGTCCAGGGCGATGTGTGATCAAGAGGGCCTGGGGTTGATAGCGGTTGGAGCAGGCCCGCCGGAGGAGAGGTCAGTGATTTATTTTGGGGATAGATGGTGCAGGCTTTTACATACTCTCGGGCATCTTGAGCTAAAGTCACCAGAACAGGCTCCCAGGAACGAGATGGTGCGTTGGATTCCAGGATGACACGAGAATCATGCCCATTGGAGCACCTGGGCCTGCACGGATGAAGGGACATAGAGCCGGTCCAGGGGTCCTGTCCCAGGATCAGGTTCGGAATGCTGCCATACCGCTGACTCAATTTCCCAGGGGAGTCCTCCTATTACACAGCCCCTAGGAAAGACCAGTGTTTCCACTCGAGCCTCCTCAGAAGGTGAAAACTGGTGTGATAAAGCATCTAGCTTGACGTTTTGGGACCCAGGCCAGTAGGTAATTGAGAAACTGAACCTGGCCCACCTGGCTTGGCGCGCGTTAAGCCGTTTTGCTGACTGAAGGTAGGAGAGGAAGATGGCTGAATTATCCAAGCAACAAGTGAGTTGGTAATGTATTCCTCCATGGCCTCCCTTTCTGGCTGGGACAGGCTTTAGAGTCGACTGGTTGGCAATGGTGCCCAGATAGCAAGTCAATAGCGCAATCATTGGGCCTGTGTGGAGGCACGATCCTTATTAAATACCTCAGCCAGTTCATGATAAACCGAAGGAACAGCAGCTAGGTTCGGAGGTGTTGGCGGAGGTGATGCTGGAAAGAGGAGAGACGGAGGTGGTAGATCTGGGCGACCGTAGCTCAGGGGGTTGGGAAACTCATCTGTAACCGGAAGGTTGCCGGTTCGATCCCCCTGCTCTCTCGGGGTGGCTGTGGCTCAGCTACTGATCGGAAGGTTGGTGGTTCGATCCTAGGCTTCCCCAGTCTGCATGTCAAGTGTCCTTGGGCAAGATACTAACCCCAAATTGCCCTCCAATGCGTTCATCGGAGTGTGACTGTGTGTGAATGTAGATTAGTTTGCACTTGTGTTTAGAAGTGCTTGCATGAGTGGGTGTGAATGAGGCATGTTGTATACGGCGCTTTGAGTACTCTGGGAGAGAAAAGCGCTATATAAGAATTAGTCCATTTACCATCTGTCCTGGTCGTTGTGTCCTTGGGCAAGACACTTCACCTACCGCCTACTGGTGTTGGTCAGAGGGGCCGATGGCGCGATATGGCAGCCTCGCTGTCCACCAGTGTGTGAATGCGAGTGTGAGTGAATAGTGGAATTGTAAAGCACTTTGGGTGCCTAGAAAAGCGCTATATAAATGCAATCCATTATTATTATTATCATTATCTTAGGCATGTCATGTGGCATTCCTCCCTCCATCTAGAAATGCAGCCATTTCTCCAGTCAGTGAGTGGGGTTGTGTTGTAACAGCCAGGGATAGCCAAGAACCAGATGGGTTAGTGGAGCCTTAAAAACAAACAAACTGATTAACTCAGAATGATTTCCGGAATGATGTTATCAGTTCAGTAATGTGGGTGACGTCTGGTAAACGCTAACCATTCAGGGAGGAGGTTCGTAGAGCATGAGGCAGTGGCTCAACAGTTAAGCCTAGTTTCTTAGCAAGGGAAAAGTCAATAAAACTCTGTTCGGCGCCGAAGTCAATTAATGGAGTGAGTGGGTGGAGGCGTGAGCGGTTAGCTCACAAATTCGTTAAACTGTAGGCTGGACGACCTCTAATTATCTCTTTCTAAATTCAGATTATGCCGAAGTTTTTATATTCTGCCCTAAAAATCATAGAAATGTGATGCCATGGCCCTCCAGTCCTCCTGTGTTGGCTCACTTGGCAGCAGAGACCTGCAAATGGATCTCAGAGAGTTACTGAAAGAGAGATTGCTGAGGAAAGAAAATACTGTGGTGGAGCCATGGGCCTCGCTAACTGGAAATCCCTTTGTTTTGCTTCTGACTTTGTCTTGTAAACTTTTCTCCTGAGCCCTGTGTATTGAATCCAATCTACATCATGTGTCTAACCAGATACTTGTCCTGGTTACTGGAGGCCAAGATAATGCCGTCCAGATTATATCCTGTAATGCACATTATTAAGCAAATAGTAAGGACTGCTTTCTTACATTTGCACAGTACCTCTAAAATTAGGATCATCCTATCTCAGAGTGATATCAAAAAAACATTTCATGCATTTATGACATCTAGGCCAGACTATTGTAATACTTTATTTTTCAGGTTGTACTGATCAAAAATCCTACAGTGAGATTTCTGACATGGACTAAAGAGACCATATTTTTAGCTATTAAATCAAGAGTCAAAGTTAAATTACTCCTCATATACAAAGTCTTGAATAATCAAGCCCCATCTCATCTTAAACACCAAATTTTACCATATATCACCCCAAATGAGCACTTTGTTTCCTATTCTACTCTAGGAGCCACAAGTCGCCACAAGTCTGAAAGCAGAGCTTTTAGCTGTCAGGTCCCTCTCCTATATTAACCAGCACCCAGTTTGGATTCAGGAGGCAGCCCCTCTTTGTACTTTTCACTTTTCTTTTCTTTTTTATAAAGCTTTATAACATTTGTTTCGGGTCACTTGATCCAGCCTCTCTCTTAAATATGCAGCAATAGGCTCAGGCTACTGCTAAGGCTCTCCATGATGCTATGAACATTTCCTTTTCACTCCCCTGTTTATACACCACTTTGCATTCAGTCATTACATCTTGATGCATGCTCAATCATCCAGGTAAGTAAATCTCCAAAAGTTGATTCTGTTCATCTGGACGTAGCGCTTATTGGGAGAAACGTTTCGTCACTCATCCAGGTGACTTCTTCAGTCTAAGCAAACTGAAGGGTTTCCCCAATCTTATAAACAGTACATTTGCATAATGACTGAAACCAGCCCACTGAAGGAACAATGGGCTGGGAGGTCAGTTCCTTCATCATGATTATGCAAATTCTCATGACCATTGATCAACAACCACTGATCAATGGCCATGAGTCCCATTCACAGAGTTGGGGAATGGCTGCAATCACAGCATGTAAGATGGTGACAGATGTACCCTTAGGCCCCCTCCTCGATTTAGAGATGGTCTTTCCCTTTTCACGTAAATGGCCTCCTTGACTCCGCCCTCAAACCAGCGTTCCTCCCTGTCCAGGATGTTACATCCTCATCATTGAAAGAGTGTCCACTGGCCTGTAGGTGTAAATAGACTGCAGAGTCCTGGCCTGATGAGGTGGCTCTTCTGTGTTGTGCCATCCTCTTTGGTTGTTTGGTTTCCCCGATGTATAAATCCTGCCAATCCTCCTGCACTTAACAGCGTACACTATGTTACTCTGTTTGTGTCGGGGGACCCGATCCTTGGGGTGGATCAATTTTTGCCGCAACATGTTTTGGGGTTTTACAGCCACAGAAACGCGATGTTTAGAGAAAATGCGTCTCAGCTGCTCCGATACTCCTGACACGTACGGGATCACTACATGTTTTCGCTTAGTCATTGGTTGTCCTTCTGTCCTGGATCGGCTGGAGGTTTCTTTAGGAGCCTTTCCAGCTCTGACAAAAGTCCAGCTGGGATAACCAGATTTACTCTTCTTGATGTGATCTTCTGCCTCCCTGGCTGCTGTGTCTGTGGGGATGGTGTTCGCTCTGTATTGTAGCGTCCTGATGATGCCCAGTTTGTGCTCCAGTCGATGATGAGTGTCAAACCTCAGATACTGATCAGTATGTGTAGGTTTACTGTACACGTCAGCTTTTAGATGTCCCCAATTACTGATGGAAATCTCACAGTCTAAGAAGGCTAACCTGCCACTTTTCATATCCTCCCTGGTGAAGTTGATGTGTCGGTCCACCGAGTTAATGTGATCCGTGAAATGTGGAACGTCCTGAGATTTGATTTTCACCCAGGTGTCATCCACTTATCTGAACCAATGACTTGGTGGTGTTCCAGGGTAGGATAGCAAAGCCCTCTTTTCCACTTCTTCCATGTACAAATTGGCCACGGTGGGTGAAACTGGGGAGCCCATGGCACACCCATGATTCTGCCTGTAGAACTGACCCTTGTGTGTGAAGTAGGTGGAATTCACACACAGTTCAAACACACTTGGTCGATGCTGAGAGTGTTGTTTTGTTGTTTTTATATTGTTGTTTCGAATTGCTGTTTCTGTGGCTGTGATCAGCTCCACTAGCGGGATTTGTCTCACCGTGACAGCAAAATTCAACCCTTTAGCAAGGATGTTTTTCTCTGTTTGGGTGAGCTGTCTGTCAGACAAATTTTTCACCCACTTGTCTACATCTTCGGTGTTGCATCGTTCCCTCTTCTGGCCATTGAGTACACGCTCCGTATTTCGCTGTGGTTTCCGATGTACAACAAGTAAGTCAAACTTCATTTGTTGTTTGGTCTGCTCTCATCTAAAAGCATTGTCAGTCTCTGTCGGATCAGCTCCTCTTGAGATTTTAGCACGTCGATGGTAAAATTTGTCTGCCTCACCCATTCATTAAGCAGCTGGTGCGGTGCCTTCTGGAGGATTTTTGTTGCCTGGAAGCCTTTAACTGAAAAGCTCATTTGCAGACTTTTAGGAGTAATCCTGTTTTGTCTGCATCTGAGGCTGAATCTCAGGTGGTTCCTGTAATCCGCCATCTTACGTGCTGTTTGCTCATACTGACGAACAAGCTTTAGGCAGTCCGTGCCAAAGTGGGAAAAAGGCCCTGATTAAATGTTGTTATCCCAACTGGACATTTGTCAAAGCTGGGAAGACGCCTAAAGAAAGATCCAGCCGATCCAGGAGAGAACTGCTGACTATGGTACTCATGGCCATTGATCAGTGGGCTTTGATCAGTGGTTGTTGATCAATGGTCATGAGAATTTGCATAATTATGATGAAGGAACTGACCTCCCAGCCCATTGTTCCTTCAGTGGGCTGGTTTCAGTCATTATGCAAATGTACTGTTTATAAGATTGAAACCTGCAGTCAGCTGAGACTGAAGACGTCACTTGGATGAGTGATGAAACGCTTCTCCCACTGAAAACACTACGTCCAGATGAACAGAATCAACCTTTGAACATTCAGTCATTTGTTATTATTTACCTCAGGACTAAAGACATGCAGTGGAAGTGAACCAGTCTCCCTCCTCTTACTCCAAACAGGTCACAGCCGTTGGCCTCTCCTTCCTGAGCCTGATTCTGTCAGAGGTTTCTTCCTGTTAAAAGGGAGTTTGTCCTTTCTGCTGTTGCCAAGTGGTTGCTCATGGGGGGTGATGTGATTGTTAGGGTTTTCTCTTGGGCTGTGAGAACTGTTGAGGTGACACAGTGCTAAACAAAAAAAACCAAAACAAAACAAAACAAACCTGTTGGCTTTCATTCACTTTTCTTTTTACTCTTGTTCAAAACAAATCCTTCTTTAAATCTGCTGTCCATTATTGTTGCAGGACCTCCTGCGCCGAGACATGCTTTACTACAAGGGCCGGATTGACATGGACCACATGGAAGTAATAGATCTGGAGGATGGTAAGGAGAAAGACTTCAACATCAGCGTAAAAAATGCTCTGAAACTGCGCTCGCTAGCTGGTGATGAAGTCCACCTCCTATGTGCTAAGAAGCCTGAGCAGAAAGAACGCTGGCTCCGGGCCTTTACTGATGAGAGGAGGCAGGTCCAGCAAGACCGCGAGACAGGTCAGACATGTGCTCAGTTTGTCTTCATATGAATGGATGCTAAAACATTTGGATGATAATAATGGTGGCAATCCAAGTTTGTTGTAGCACTGTCGTGGCACATGCATTAAACAGATACAGACTCAGTAAACTTTCACAGAATTCTGATTTTTAAATTCATTTTGTCAAGGACATTTTCAGTCCGCTGATTTGAATGCTGTCGGTCTGATGTCCTTACGAATAAACCTTTTTCTTTTCTTTTTGTCAGGGTTCACTCTCACAGAGGTCCAGAAGAAACAGGCCATGTTGAATGCCTGCAAAAGCCATCCAGCTGGGAAACCCAAAGGTATGCACCAATCAATTTATCATAGAGTAACTTGGGGTTCAATATCTTGCCCAAGGATACTGTGCAGACTGGAGATGGGAGCAGCCAGGGATTAAACCTTCCAATTAGTAAATGACCTGCTCTACCTACACGACTGCAGTGGACACCAGTGGAACTGAGCAAAGGGGTAAAAAAGTGGCCCATAGATGATAACGAATCGAAACGCCTGGCAGTACACACTTTGTGATCTGCTGCCATGTGCGTATGTCAACAGATTATGTGTATATCTAATATTTTTCTTGTTTCACCTGTTTGGCTCTTTGTAGAAGTCTCCCTGTCATTCATAGCCGCTCACTTTAGTTTATACTGAACTTTTACCGAGTTAGATTTAAACAACAAATGCAATCTCAGACCCTCATAATGAAACCCTTCCTTGTTTCCTAATGCATATCCTATTTTCATCTCCGTAATATTAACCGCCTTCGTCCCTCACTCACTCCAAACAGTACTGCCATACTTGTCAATGCTCTTGTCACATCCCGTTTAGATTACTGTAATTCTCTTCTCTACGGTGTACCTCGTAAATCCACCTGCTCGCCTGACTACCATGGGACTCGAGCCTTTAGCTGTTCTGCTCCAAGACTTTGGATGCACTTCCACCAGATCACGAACTCTCTCACCACTTTTAAATCACGTCACAAAACTCATCTATTCAAAACTGCATACAATTGATTCGGTCTTAGTCCACTTTTACGTTGCTCAGCTTTTATACTTGCTTTTATACTTTCATGCTTTTTTTTCTCTTATGTCTATATTTTATTTTGCCATGTTTTATTATATTGTATTGTTGCTACACTCAAAAAAATAACTCTTTAAATGAACATAAAAAAATCATGGAAAGAATTTCCACGTGATTAAATTGCTTTATTTTAGCATTATGCAATTCTGTTACTCCAACTTAATGCACTCAAGTTGGACCAACTTAATTAAAGATTGATGAATCAACGTATTTACTGCATTTTGATCCAATATATTTTAATAGTGTTGATCCAACTTAAAGAGTTTTGTTCCAACTCAATTCAGTAGGTTTTCTCCAACTAATTTACTAAATTTGGTCCCAGCTTAAGTTAATTGAGTTGAACCAACTCATACAAATTAAGTTATTCCAACACAAGTCTTTAATGCTAATAGAAAGCAATTTAATCACGTGGAAATTCTTTCCATGATTATTTTAAGTTAATTTAAAGAGTAATTTTTTGGAGCATTTAACAAAGTCTAGAGTCTGGTTAACATACATTTCACTATTACATCTAAAAGGTAAATAAAAATTTGTCATACACATCTTTTTGTTTTCTCCAATTTATTGAATTTATAGCAAATTTCACATAATGTATAAAGAATACATGAAATGCAAGTACAAGTTACATAACAGAAAAAAAAGTAGTGGACAAAGTGGAAAGTTAACCTGTTAAAACAATTTTTTAACAACAATGAATGGCTGAAGCAGGTGATTTTCCGATGACCAATACAAATACTTTGAAGGTCAACAGATGCACTTTCAAAAAAGAAAATATCTGCAATTATTTTAGGTTCATGGTCCAGATACATGGTGTAGCTGTTGTAATGGGAACATTTCTCAACGAGAAAATTGTGTTTTGAGAACCTGTACTTTGTGTGCTGTTGGATAGTTCGTGTGCATCTAATTCCATAAGAATCTTCTGCAGGACCTCAAAGGTGTACCTGAGTTCCAGAGGGTAGCTCAGGTTCAGTGAATAGACCAGACCAAGCAACATTGTCACTGCAAGAACTACATTGCCCAACTCACCCATCACTTCCACCCCCTCTAGAACAATCACAACATCCTGAGGGTCATCGCCAGGCTCCGCACCCTCTGACCGAATGACACAGATTCCAAAGACTGTCTCTGCTATGGCAGTGGCGATGTTTTTATCAACTTCCTGTGACAATAAAACAAACAAAAAAAAAAGATAAGGATTTCTCACTAATGTCCATTGCAAACAATTTTAAAAGTAAATATGTTTTTTACATTAATGTAAAAGACCTAAAAGCTTTATTCATTCAAGCCTTATAATAATGTAAATGTAATCAAAAATGACTGCCCGATATTTTTCCTGACTCAAGAGAAGTTCATTCAATACCTCAACAATGTCCTGTCTTTCAAAATCTTGAGATGTGACAGGGGTGACTGTGGCACAGGAGGTAGAGCAAGTTGTCTACTGGTTTAATCCCTGGCTTCTCTAATCTGATACTAAAACTATCAATGGGTAACATACTGAACCCCAAGTTGTTCCTGATACATCCATTGAAGTGTAAATGTTACATAAAAATCTTGTATGAATGTGTGTATGAATGAGGTTATTATAATGATATTATAATAATGATAGTATAAAACACTCAAGAATGGTGTGTGTAGTATCCAGTGAGAAACTTAAAGCTCTTACTTTTCCTATTTTAAAAGGTATTTTTTACAGCCACCGGTAATTTACAGGAAAACCCCATCCCCTGAAACTTTTTGTATGTAGTTCAAGCTTATCTTTGATCATCTCCTTAGTTAAGGATACAGGCAAGTTAACATACCAGGTAATTCTTCACTAGCTTCTCAGGATCTTCATTCAGGTACATGCAAAGACCTTTGGCGATGTATTCTCTTCTGATTTCAACAGCATCAGTCTTTATACACAGAGGGGGAAAAAAACAAATATATACAGAAATCCATCTCAACAACCTAGCAGTGGGATTAAAGAACTTTCAGTTGAATTACCAGGAATTTGTGAGAAATACAGAGGCTATTGTTTTACGGTCTTAATCTTTTCAAATAGTATTTATGCATTTTAGACAAGTCTGTCATTTTAATATTGTTTTGTAATTTGTGTATTAATTTAATCATGCCATACCCCCAATTCAAGAAAGTTTAGATGATGTGTACATAAAATTAGAATGCAATGTTTTCTTGGTCTCAAAACTATATGTCACTTACAAATGAATATATTACATTTTTAACATAGGAATGTGATAACTTTTAAGAAAAATATTAGCTCACCATGAATTTGATGAACTGGCCTGCCAGCTCTCCAGACCTTTCACCACCTGATAAGATTAAACATTTATTATCTTTACAGGAGGGAACTGCAAGTCTCCAAGTTTATTAAGTAGAAAAATATTTAATTTCAAAAAAATTAAAAAACAGGAAAACATATCTGGTCATGTTTTGTCTTTCCTCCTCAGTGTACTAAAAACACATAAATTGTTAAATAAACCACTGTCCATCAGTTGCAACTTACAAACTTACAAATTTCAACAACCCACACGTAAAATGTAAATTTATCACAACAGTCTCTGTGGTAGAGCCAAACTAGCTTATGTGCAGAGGTTAAGTTTTAACCAATATCTATATTTGGAGTAGCTAAGTCTTACATATTAGGCTATCATGCTAGCATGACATTGTGCTATATTCTTGCACTAACGTGTTAGCTAGCTAGAATGGCATAAACAAACAGATATTTTTTAAAAAAAACAAACAAAAAAACAAATGTGAATAAATAGAACTGAAAAAAATCGACAAACTAATGATACCTTTGTGCAAAAAGTATTTCCATCAAGATGGATGAAGATAGATTCACTCTTACCTTTCCAAGATGACCGCGAAGCAAACCATGTGCTTTCCTGCCTCTTGTTGTTTAGAATCTCACGTGATCTTGTGATATCGCGAGTCTTTAAGGCAGCTAACCACTCTTGTTAGATTTTATCATGTCATATCAACAAGAATAAATTTAAGAGGCGCTAAGTTGGTAAATTTCTTGTAGATCTTATATGATTTTATTACGTTCACCTTAGAAACATAAATTCATTGTGTTCAAATTACATGTTAGAGTCTTGTAAATGCAATAACCACCAAATTTCACTTTTTTGAGTGTATTGTTCTTGTGCTATTGTAAGGTGACCTTGAGGGTCTTAAGGGCACCTATAAATAAAATGTATTATTATTGTATTATAAGTAATGATCTGTTGTTCGTCTTCTCCTCAGCGGTGTCCAGACCTTATTATGACTTCCTCCTGAGGCAGAAACACCCCTCTCTCCCCTCTGCTTTGCCCCAGCAGCAGGTCTTTATGCTGGCTGAGCCCAAGCGCAAGACCTCCACCTTCTGGCACAACATTGGCAGACTGACGCCCTTCAAGAAGTAAAAAAAACTGTAAGGAAAAAAAAGCCTTGGAGAAAAGGAACAGAGAAGGAGAAAGAGTCTCTGTTCGTGCCTGAATAGACCGTTTTTAACCCTTCCTCTCTTTAATTCCTACACATAATATCCTCTAATTATTGATTTATTGTATAGATATGAATTGAATATGTTATCTTTTGAAAGCACTTTATATGTTGGTTAACAATCAGACATGGGAATGGTCCTCTAGAGACAATGAGTCAGATAGGTAGAGTAAACTCTTGGTTCACTTATAAATAGACCTTGAATCAAGCACTGATTGGAACTAAAACTACTACTGTACTGCTACTGTAATAGTACTGTACTACTATTGTACTAGTACTGTACTGGTACTGTACTAGTACTGTACTGCTGCAGGTGAGCGTGGGACTCCTGACTGTGCTGTCTCTGTGAAGACGTTGCCTGTCAACAAAACCTTTTTTATTTTCACTCTTCTGTTGCTTCATGATTTGACAGATGCCAAGTGTTTGTAGTGCCAGATGATCTGTTTTTATATTTGTTCCTTGTCTGCTTATGAAGAGACAACATTTCTTGTTTTCATGTACAGAAATATGATTTCAGCTATGTTTTGTTTCGTGATTATGATCCACCGGGATTTGGTTTTGTACTTCTCTGGTGTAATGTGCAAACTCCTGACGAATATCAAACGCAGCCCAAAGAAAAATCGGCTCAGCACATGTTCTCAGCTGTTCTGGCTCCACGGTCTGAACCTCGACGACTCCTGATACCTGCTGTGTCAACGAAAGTACGCAACTCGCTCGATTTTCTTTTTCTTTCTGTTCTTTGTTGAAGTGCCATTTGAAGTGTGTCATGGATGCTTTACAATGACATGCATGGATGTGCTTAAATGAAATACTGTGAGGAATATTTTTTTATCTCTGAAGAGCCCTGCTATATTTAACCTGATTGCTGGTTAAAGCTGGTTTCATTGTGCAGCCATGCTGACAGCATCTCTCTTTCTCACACACACACATTCTTTTATCTACCTGTATTCACTATTCCTGCTCTGTGTATCTGATTTCCAGTATAATCTCATGTCAGATCAGTGCAGCCCGGCGATATTGCTCTGTAAGTGCATTTAGTGAAATGTACTCCTTACTCCTTTCTGTTCAAAAATTAAACGTTCCTAAAATGACTCATGTCGCTTCAACTTGGGGTGATTTTTACTTTGTTTCATGCCACTCTTTTTGGAGTTTCACTTCTTTAACAACAAACCATGTGTATGCTAACATGGAGTACAAGCTAACATTTTCACTTTATATATTAAAAAACCTGCTGAAAGTATCAAGTCTGTATTACTTTGCTTTTCATACCGTTCAAAGGGAGATTGCTTTGAAAATTGATACAGTTCACACTTAATGTAGTTACACTGCACAACTTATAATTAAAGGTTGTGGGAAGCACAGACTATATAAATGAGAAAAAAGCTACACACACACAGTTTCACTGACTCCACACTATTTACATTCATAATGTGATGGTGCATCATGGGCAGTGATGGGAATAACGGCATTACTAACGGCGTTACTTTTTTCAGTAACAAGTAATCTAACTAATTACTATTCCTATTGTTACAACGCCGTTACAGTTACTAACAAGAAAATGCGGCCCGTTACTATTTTTCAACAAACAGATGGTTGAAGCTGTGTTCAGCTTACTGCATCTTACATCAGCTGCAGAAAGTAGCTGTAAGAAATCTGGGCGCTACAGCTTTAAGCAGCTGCGTGTTCCTGCGGACGGTGATCACGATCACTGTCTAGCACAACACCTGGAGCTCAGGGGGCAAAACAATCGCACATACTTTCTATCTCTCAGTGAGCCTGAGTTATGACCTTGGCTGCCTGTTTTTCTGCTTCCAACAAAGGTGGGGGAGAAGCTCTCGTGCAGTATACTCGGTTCTCTCTACAATCAAAAAAGCAAGGCCCTGATCCCGTGCACACATTATTCTCTTTATAACTCAGCAGTATGAAATGTCATAAAACCGTGTAACTCATTCACAGTAAATCAGCAGTATAATGTAATACAAATCAATCTAATAAATCTAATGATTTTCAAATTCTTCTAAGTCAGAAGTATAATGCAAACTAGAACTACATAATGATTACACAATCTATAATAAGAAGTATAATGTGGCCTACAGCAGCATCATGATTAGGGATGGGTATCGTTTAGGTTTTATCTGATACCAGTACCAAACCGGTACTTTTGAAATGGTGCCGGTGCTTAAACGGTGCTTAAATAATGGAGAACACAAACTTTGTCCAAAAACCTCTCATGTTCAGCTGTTTTCCACTTTTTCTTTGGTCATTTTAGCCTTTTTGGCCAGGGTGAAGGGAG